AGTGTCTTCAGTCAGAGGCTTCTTCAGATCTGCTGTAAGACAGAGCGCTACAGGAGATCCTTCCTGCCCACAGCCATCAGCATCTACAACGGCTCTTTGAGGAAACCTTCATAATGAGCTACAACAATATTTAATTTCCCTTTGGGATTAATAAAGAATTTTTGAATTGAATTGAATATCCTTGGCCACTTTATTGTGTAAAGTTCTGTGGTGTGTTTAAGTTAGCCTTGCGAGGCAAGGGCGAGTCCAGCAACCCTGGGATTTTTTGTGGATTGGTAGATTTTGTGGCATCGCTTGACGAGGTGTTTGAGGAGAACCTAAGAATGGCAACGTTCTTTAGAGGCATGTCAAAGATGGTGCAGTATGAGCTGCTGGATTGTACGACATCTGTCATCAGAGAATGCATTGTGGAGGAGGTTAAATTGGCTAGATTCGTGGCCATCCAAGCAGATAAAGCCACAGACGTTTCTACACAGATTCGGTGCTTGTGCTGAGATATGTATATAGACGAAAAAAAATGCAGTGCAATAAAGGTTCTTTGAATTTCTCCTGACCTTGTCTACAATGGCAGGCTCCATCGCCAATGCAATTTTGGAGAGACTGAACAGCATTTTCACTGATGATGACAAGTGTTAACTTATTGCACAAGCTTACGACGGTACCAGTGTGATGAGAGAAGAGAGGGCTGGTGTGCAGCAAAAGGTACAAGAGGTGTACAAAAATCCCTTTTATTTGCATTGTTATGGACATCAGCTGAATTTAATCATGCAGCAATCCATGTCTCACATGCCAGCGATGACAGTTTTTTTTTTCTCTGACTTCAGTGGGATTTTCATTTCTTTCACTCAGTCACATAAACACTCAGCCCTTCTTGACCACATTATTTCATGAAGACTGACAAGAGCATCATCCACAAGATGGAACTTTAACAGCAGGATCATGAATAATGTCTAGGAGAACCTGGATGACCTCATCGAGTGTTTTGAGACCATCATCTCAGACAGCTCATTCTTACCACCGCGAGGGAGGCATCTGGATTCCTGAGGATGCTGCAGGATGAAAATTTTTGTTTTTCCTTGCAGTTGTTTCATCAAATAATGCCCAATGTTGACATGATGTACCAACAGCTGCAGAAGAGGGACACTGACATGGTTTTCATCAAACGTGCCCTGGCAGAACTTCACCAGCAGTGTTCAGGCCATCAAGTGATATAATATAATATATATAATAATATAATATAATTGCACGGTGGCGCAGTTGGTAGCACTGTTGCCTTGCAGCAAGGCAAGGTCCTGGGTTCGATTCACCACCGGGGGTCTTTCTGCATGGAGTTTGCATGTTCTCCCCGTGCATGCGTGGGTTCTCACCGGGTACTCCGGCTTCCTCCCACAGTCCAAAGACATGCCTGTTAGGTTAATTGGTCACTCTAAATT